AGTAACAGCTTACCCTGAAATAGGACCATGACCCCTGAGAAAAAGGAAACAAGCCCATGTGTTACCAGCTTGTGCTCGCTTCGGCAGCACATATACCATGTGTTACCAGCTCACACTATGGAGGTGGTTTCCAGCTCATTGCAACAGAAAAGGAAACCCAAGCCAAATCCAGCAGCTTTGCTGAGTTGAAAAACACAGACCATGGAGGTTAATGAAAAAGGGGAACTTATATTTTGTGAGGTAAGTTACTAGTAAGCCAAAGAGAAAGGGCTGAGTATCTTCAAACAATGTCCACAAGTCTTGTGCTAGCCACTGACCTGTGCCTGAGAGGAAGCAACCTGAGTGTGGAGAACTGCACTTTGTGGCAAACAAAAAAGAAGAAATTCCCAGTATTTATACAGGATTGGAGATAGTTTTTCTATCAGCCAGCATGAAGAAATGTCCATTTTTTACAGTGTGTACTGAGGGACAGTCCTCAAAAGAGGACTCTCTAGTTTAAAAAAAAAAAAAAAAATTCTAGGAAAGTAAAAAAATTGGACAATAAAACTTGTAAGACAAAAATCAATCAATAAAATAGAGCCAGAAATGACAAGCGATGGGAATCAAAAGAAAAGTTTGTTAAACACTACCAAAAAATATTCTAGATATATTCAAGATGGCACAAAAGCCATCCTCCAAAAGATATCATGAGGAAACAAATGGAAGACACAAAAAGACCCAAATGGAACTGCTAGAGATGAAAAATACAGCATCTGAAATGTTGGGATTAATAGAATAGATTCTCTAAAACAAAAGATTAACACTGGAAAGAGATTCAAAATGAAAGAAAGGGGAAAAAACAGAAAGAAACAAAAAAGTCAGAAAAATATGATCTCAGCTATCATAGGCTTGTGGGACAACATCAAGCATGTAACAAACATTTGTATTTCAAGGAAAGCAAAGGAGAATAGAAAAGGTATTTGAAGAAATAATACCTGAAATATTTCCCAACTTAATATAAACTGTAAACCCAAAGATCAAGGAACATTTATTAGGGACCAGAGCAATTTGCTGAAAAGCTGTAAAAGGCAACAAATGCAACCAGAAAACAAAAGACATTATGTTTGAAGAAATAAAGAATGACACCAGACATAATTAGAAAGAAATGACAAAATACAGACAGTAACAGGAAGAGATCACTGAAAGAATAACATTATCAACCTAAATTTTTATCCAGAAGTACTATGCTAAATTGAAAATAAAAATAAAAGCTTATAGAAGTCATCACAAATAGATCTGCTCTATGAGAAATATCAACGATTTTAAGCACAAAGAAATGTTATCAAACAGAAATCCAGATCTACATGAGATTAAGAACACAGAAATGGCACCTAAGTGGATAACTAGAACAGACACATTTGCCTATTTAAAAATGAAATCATAATATATGAGATTTACAGTATAAGCAAAATGTATGCTAACAATGGTATCAAGTACAGAAGGCAATATAAAGGATACCATTGTAAGGTTATAACATTATACACGAAATGGTAAAATATTTAAAGATAAAGCAATTGGACTGTAACTCCTAATAGTTTGAACCACTGGTAGTACATGCACAAGTGCCTTGGTGGCTTGACCTGCTTTTCGGGGGGCGGCGGCGAAGGAGGGTCTTTGATTATAATAATGCAAAGAAAGGCACTGATTTAGCAGACTACATGTCATGTTACAGTTTCTAAAGAAAACATAAAGTGGTTAAAAAAAAGAAAAGAAAAAGGGCTGTCGAGATAGCTCAGTGCACTAAGAGTCTGCTTAGGCAAGCACAGGGAATGGGGTTCGATCTCCAGCACCACATGTGGCACTGGCCCTGCAGCCGGGCACGCTGAGGAGGCCACCGAGTCCAGGCATGGTGGTGCATGCCTGTAAGCCCAGCACTGGGAAGGCTGAAAATAGGAAGATCACTATGAGTTCGAGTTGCATAGTGAGACCCTGTACCAAATGATAAATTAAAAACAACAAAAAACAAAGTGGTTAAAAAAATTATTATACTGTATAGTTAATCTGTAATATGGCACATTATATAACTAGCAATGGGGCACTTATGAGTTCCATGTTAAAATTTAGAGAATTACTAAGAAATTATTTAAAAATATAAATTACTTTAATGAAATAAATCTGATTATTATAATTTTAACTGGTATATACAGTATTAATATTTATATCTGGGCAGTGATTATTCAAACTGAAGCAATTAACTAGATTCACTCCATTTATAGACTTTTTATTAATTTTACCAGTAAAAAGATCAATAAAAGATCTGTTTGTACCATTTCCCACGGGAGTCATGCACCTGCCACTGATGGTTCAAACTGGTGAGAATGTTAAAAGTAGAAGAAAAAACATCATACAGACTTTAATCAAAAGAAAGCTGAAATGACTATATTTTTATTTATCAAAGTAGACTTCAGAATATAGAATACACCAGAGACAAAGACAAACAATTCACATAATATGAAAGAGTCAATTCATCCAGAGGACACACTAAGTACTTCCAAATCTTGCATCAGAATTTCAAAATACATGAAAGCAAAAACCAAAAAAGAAGTAACAGAGAAAATAATTAGAACTGGGGATTTTAACATTTCCAATAAACCAGGAGACAGAAATCAGTAAGGATACAGAAGACCTGATACCATTATCAGCCAACTTGACCTAATTACTGTCTAGAGAACAAGCACTCCACAGAATAACAACAAAATATTCACTATATTTAAGTACATACCAAATATTCATCATAGGTCATATTCTAGACCATAAATTAAAACAGAAATTATCAAGCTATGTTCTCTGACCATAATATAATTAAACTAGGTTTCCATAATGGTGAAGACTATTTGGAAAATCCCAACCACCTGGAAAATAACACTTCTGAATAACCATGGTTCTAAAAAAAAAAAAAAAAATCACAAAGGAAACTGCAAAATATTTCTAACTGAATGAAAATTAACATTTTAAAATTTGTGTAATATAACTTGATAAAGCCAAAATCATTGAGTTCACCTTTGAGCTTAAGTTAACTGAATCACTCTGATAACTAAGTAACGATTAATACAGATGGTTTTATTCACTATTACATACAAGGGATTAATTCACCCATATTTATAATTACTGTACCCAAGAAAAAAGCACTACGCTGGATGTTACACATGGTCTCTCAACCTATAAGAAAATGAAGGTCTGCACTCAAACCCCAAAGCCGTGGACAAGAGTGCTCAGACTATGCAGTGAAAGGACAGGAGTGTAGACAGCATGCATAGAAGCAGAAGCGTGGGTTGGACAGAGCTTGTGAGTGCAAATATAGGCTTCTAGGTAAGGGTGCAGCACGCCTAAAGGCAGGAAACAGAAGGGTGAAGGCTAGGCAGCAGGCCCAGTGAGCAACAGGGAATCTGGCATCACAACACCAACGACGTGGACTAGACTGTGAGGGTCTGCAGAGAGCCACAGACTGGACTTAAGAGTTGGAGGCTCTTGGTCTGAGTCCTGATCTACTATTGTCTATTAACAATGTGAACATATCAAACTTTTCCACTTCTCCTCTATGGAGTAGTTGGAACCATTTCTGGCTGCCCTCAAGAGCTATTGTGAGGGCAACTGAACTGTACACACCCCAAGCACAATGTTAATAGGTGCCAGGAAGGGACTGAAGGCTTTGGGGAGTAAGATGGACCTGGCAGAAGAATGACAGCCTACTGATGGGAATGCTAGATGAGAAGTAAAAGAAGATGGGAATTAGGCTAACTTGAAGAGTGCAAGTTGGAAGTACCATGGGACTCAACCACAGTGGAGGCACTAGAAGAGGCCGAGGAGTCCTGCGAGATGGGCCACAGCAACTGACCCACGACGAGCTGAAGGCAGGGAGGAATAAAATGGAAAAGCATAGAAGATGTCTAGGAGAGTTTTCACCCCCAAACAAGAAGTCAAAAACAACTGATTTTGGCATAGAAAATATAACATTTCTAAACAGACTTCTACTCATAAGAGGAGGCTGACTTGGGGGAGGTATTGGGGGGGCGAGACCCCTCAAATATGAAACTGCTTAATCCTAAAAACCAGTATCTAAGATAGCACCCAACTTCCCTATACACTTATGCAAAAGCCATTATGCCATTTAGTAAAAGCACTGTACCTGAACATCACCTTTCCAGTATCGATATCTTTCTAAGCATGTTGTAGTTGTATTAGAAAGTTGTAATAAAGAACAAATGAAGGCGTCATAGATAGCTACTAATGTGTCATTGCAGATGGAGAAGAATTCACCATGAAATATATCTTTGGTGCTAAACTGGCAGAGCCAGAGAGAATACAAAATGAAAAAGATCATCATGGTGGTAAAGAAGAATCATTCTTAAGTTCTACGCTTTAAAAAGAAATCATTTTAAAAATGTAATGAATCAGGAACACCTAGTCACCTAAACCCATTGAACACAAAGACATATAATAAAACAACATTCTAAAATGAAATAACAATATGGAATGTGTCTGATGAATACAATGGCACTCAGTGCTTTGGAACTCACTGCTGACGGGTGGCCAGGCTACACTGTAACTTTCACCCTCAAAGAACCACTATTATACTTGAAATGAGACAAACACCATACTACCCCCAAAGGGAAGTTGGAGTAGGTGATTAACTTATTCTATGACCTTGAGAGGTCAACAGTTGTTTTTCTATGAAAAGGCAAAAGCTTTTTCAAGTTCATCTAAGAAACACTTAATGTCTATCATGTGCCCAAAGCTATTGCAATCGCAAGAGCTAGTGAAGGCCTGCCATTACAATTTTTTGCTTACAAAGTTTTGCCAAGATCAGTTTTTAAAAGCATACATGCATAAAGGAATACTAACTAGCATCCTGGGAGTAACTTTTCAAGTTGTTTGCTGTGGCACAGAAAGATCAATTTTAAAAAGCAATGAAAAAGGGAGGGAGGAGATGGAAACGCCTGGAGAGGCGCCAGGGAACTCACCCGTGCAAAGTCAAATGCGTATCTATAAATAAGTTTAAAGTTTGTAGAATCATTTAATAATGATCTCAAGCAATCCAAAGAATTTCTGAGTTTTTCTGTTGTATCACATCTGGGAAAACAGAATAAAGGCAGATTATAACCTGAATTGTTTTTTTTTTTTTTTTTTTAAGTTGTGTAGTAATATAACACCAAAGGAAAGAATATAAACCCTGAAGTTGGAATGTCTATCACAACTATTTTTCCTATCCTTTTTTTTTTTTAATAAATTTCAAATATACAGCAAAGCTGAATAATGAATAAGCGTTCACCTACCTATCCCCAGCTTCAGCAATGAACACATTTTTCTATCCCACCAGTAAGTTGCCCTCAACACATCAACAGTGCTGCTGGGGATGTGGCTCAGCAGGACAATGCTTACCAACAAGCTGGAAGCTCTGCGTTTGGTCCTTGCACCAAAAACAAAAAAAAAAAAAACCTCCCCTGAACATGCCATCACTCTTAATATTCTATCCATAACCTCTTAGAACTAATACTGAGTTCCAATACACATTTCCTAACTGAGCTCTAATTTCCTTGATAGCTCTTGTCATTTTTTAAAAAGACCAGCCCAGTTGCTTTTGTAGTACATCAAACTATTGAGTAAGTCTCTCAAGAGTCTATGTACATTTCACACGTCTCACAGGAATAGTACTCATGATGTATCCTTCCCGGGGCACCCCAGAAGGAGGCTCATTAGGCCACTCTGTCCCATTACTGCAGATGTAGGGGTGATCAAAATATGGTAAATTTTTAAAAATTACAGTAAAACCCACATTGCCGCTAATTTCCCTAAAATTCTCTCCATCACTTGAAACACACTTATCCCCATTATTCTTGCCACTTTCAGAGGCATTTCTTGAAGTCATGTTTTGTCTTTATGAGATAGTTGATTAAAAATACAATGAACACTGCTGCTGAGCGCCATCCAATGGAAAGGCAGGCTCGTAAAACATTATGGTGTGTTCTCATGCTTTCTCATCAGATCTGGCACTGTAGAACTTCGAGCTCTTCCCCAAAGTCAAATCACCATGAAAGGTAAATGTTCTCAAATGACTCAGGACACTGCCACCCCCCACGGCAACACAACTAAAGACTAGCTCATGAAAAAGGACTTCCACAGCTGCTTCAGAAAACAGAGTGAAAGGGTATGCGTGTTCAAAGCATGGGGAGTATTTTTACTGGCAATGTGTCTTCTACTGTAATTTTTTTTTTTTTTTTTTTTTTTTAATTATGAAGCAGGAGGATCACTACAAGTTTGAGACCAGTCTGGGCTACAAAGTGAGCTCAAGACCTATCTGAACTGCAGAGTGAGACCCTGTGATCCAGTGACACTCAAATGTACCAGTGAAATCCCCTCACACTTTACGTTCCCCTGTGGGTCCCAGCACATTCCCTGAACGCCCCCCAACACCCCTCCTGCAGGCACCCTGCTTCCCTGTAACAGGACCTTTGAGTATCACAACCCTTCCTACCTCACTTCAAGTGCCTCTCCCACTGCAATTTCTGCAGCAATCCTTAAAGAGGCCATGTGCAACATAAAATGGTTTTTAGTCTCCATTGTTGAGACCTGCCTGAACCTGTCCATTCTTCTACCTCATCAATCCTACCTCTTAAATGAAGAGCTGCACACACCACCCTTTCTTTTCTGGATCTGGAATTTTGCTTTTCAGTGTGCTACAATGTTACTGTCCTCATTCTCTTTGATGCACCAACCATTCCAATTTGGCGGTAGCCTCCTCAAATGGTTCCCGTGTTCTTGCGTGTCCCCACTAGTTTCTTCTTCGTTCTCTGGCATAACATATCCCAGCTTACTGTGTTCCCAGCCCCAGACTTAAAATTGGCCATTTTTCCAGGGAGCCCACATGATGATAAGCTATTTTTATCAGTTGAGTAACTCAATATTTACTTTTCCTAAGAAAGGAGACTAATTGGTTGTTTTTCCAAATTAACTGTTTGCTATATGTTGCACTCAAAAATGAGAACCAAGAGTCACTATTTTCAGAAGCACATTAAATCCTTTCAATACTGATTAGGGCCACTTGTGTTTTTCTGTAGAATTTTTATCTAATCATAAGAATAGATAATACACTTAGAGAGTATTACCAAAATAAGTATTTTGGCTAGTTTTTAAACTAAAACATAATGTAATAGAGTACACAATGATTTATTCTTAGTAAATCTGTGAAAGCTCCTTTTTTATACCTAAGTAAAAATAAATCTTCATGATCTTTGTATTAAAATAGACTATCTAAAAGTCAAAATTAGAGTAAATATCTATTTATGGAAAAAACTATTTAGAATGTCCTTTATTTTTTCCTGATGTTGGAAAAGATTAAAATTAGACTTTAAAAAGAGACTTCTTAGAAGTTCTTCAAAGAACTGAAAGAGACAGAACTAGGTGTTTCTGCAGAGGTAGGAAGGGCTCCAGGCATCAGGAGCAGCATGCCCCTAAGGGCAGAGTGGAGCACAGGAAGGGCAAAGGATTAGGAGGTAAAGTAGGAGGACAGGCTGAGAGGGGGTAGGGTTGGACCATAAAGGGCTCCTGAGGCCCATTATGAAGGCCTTTATTGAGTCCTTCAAACAAGGAAGGTCATCTCCCACCATGGGAGAGATCAGGCTTGTATCTTAGAAAGCTGACTCTGGATCTCTGTGGAGGCAGCTTCAAGGGTGGAAAAGAGATACTGAGGGCCTCATCAGAAACCCAGGGCCAGAACCCAAATAAGATAGATGAAAAAAATACAGGCAAAAGCACTCGCTGGCAGTAAATCTGGGAGGCAGGAGTGGCAACAGGGCTTATTTTATATTGGGTAGTTGGCCACAGAGTTGGACGTTTTTAATGGTGAGTGAGAATATATTGTCACTGATTAAATAATATCAGGAAAGGTCACAGAGGAGGGAAATCAGCCAACTTCCAAACATGTCAAGGCCCTTGTCCTTGCTCTTCACTAGGAGAGAGTGAAGGATGAAAGCCCCCAGAAACTTGCTGGATTGGGTGGGTCAGTAGTCTATCTCTTAGTCCAGTGCAACGAGAGAAGAGCAGCTAGCTGCTTCCACACATCCCAAGCAAGAATCTCTCATTTAGGTAACTATGACAGAGCTAAAAGAAAGTAAAGCAGCTGGGGTCTTGGGTGAGGCTGCTGGATGAAAGAGGCAGCTCTGCAGCAAGTCAGGTAGCACCCTCCACTCTGGCAGGGAGAGGTCCCTATCACTCCAAGCTACTCAGTGCTCCTGGGCATGCAGTGCAAGAGGCGAACAGGTCTTGAGTTTAAACAAACTATGCACAAAGTAGCACTTCCACTTGAGGTACCCAGTAAGGTCATTTACTTGGGTCAGACTGCACACAGTCAATGGACCTTAATACGCCTACTGAGTCTCTGACTCACCCTCAGAGGAACAGGCGGCTGAGTCCCTTTGTCCAGAACTGCACGACGCCATCTAGTGGCCACTCAGCAAGGACCGCTTGAAAGGGGCCACGTTCTGGCAAAGGGCCTATGAATAAACAGGCTTCACATATTTAAGGTCTGCCTGAGACTCACTACAAAACTCCATCTTCAATCTGAGTTTCCTCTGTTCTGCTATGTACCACATTGAATAACGGTGATAATGCTATTCTTCTAAAAAGCACAATTTGTAAAACAAATATGCCCACAACATGGGGTTATTATTTGAGTTTGCTGCAACAGGTTCAGGAGTAGGGCCGGGTGATGGCGCAGTAGGATAAGCGCTTGACTGGCAAATGCAAGGATCTGAGTTCAATCCCTGGTTCCACCAAAAAAAACCACAACAGGTTCAGGAGTAATAGGGATCAGCTCAAAGAAAATCAGGGGTAGCTTTCTGCCTTTCCCAGGGAGGGCCTCCACCCCTGCATTCCGCCTGAGGGTGTTTTAACTTCCTACCAGCTCTACAGAGAGCAGAAGACAGTTCTAAGACTTTTTGGTTGTTGTTTTCTTTTAGCTTAAGCTCCCCTACTAGCTTAACTCATTAGAGGTTGTCTCAGTTACTTTTTATTTGTGGCTGGGACAAAACGCCCAACACCCAAAATTGAAGAAGGAAAGGTTTATTTAGCTCAGTTTGTGGAGGTTTCAGTCTGGACTTGGCTGGCTCCCAGGCAGAGTGGTACCTGGCAGAGAGCAGCAGTTCATGTCAGCAAAAAACAGCACATCAAAGGGAAGGGCAGCAGCTACGGCTTCTAGCAAGCTTCTCTCCCCTCCTTATACTATAAACAAGCTACCCTGGGACTGGGGGTGTAGAACTCACACAATGTCCATGCCCTCCTCTTGCACAGGATGAAGATAGTTTGAATCTTGGTTCTCTGAGTCACTTAACTTTTAAACTTCAAGTGGACACAATGCACCAACCACTACAGAGGTAATCTTAAACCAGCAAGCTGGAACAAGGCAGTACCAGTCATCAGTCCAGAAGCTGGGCCTCCGCAGGCTGAGAAAGTGGCCAGGAGCATAGGAACAGTGCTCCCACCCAGTCCTCTCGGACCCACCACCATAGGTTCCAGTGAGGGGCTCCTGGGAGGCCATGCTCGCAGTTCCTCCATATAGTGTCAAGGACACTATGTTCTGAGTGTTCATGTAATTCTTGTGTCATCAGTTCACCATACTGGTTTGCAGATGTCATCAGAGACACTCGGAGAGTGACAGAACCAATGTAAAACTCTGGTTCCAGCCAGGCATGCTGGCACATTCCTGTAATCCCAGCACTCTGGGAGGCTGAGACAGGAAGATCAAGGTTCAAGCCCATTCTGGGCAATAGCAAGACCTTGACTCAAGGAGCTGAAGTGTAGAGCTCAGGGTGAAGACAGTGGGTTCAATCCTCAGTACTGAGGGGAAGAACAGCTCTGGCTCAAAAGCTGTCACCTGGGGCCGGGGAGATGGCTACTTCTAGCACTGTAGAGTATCAACAACATATCTTCAAATTTTCTTAAACCTAGCATTCTACCCCAAATGGGGGCTGGTGACAGGACCAAGCCTTTGTGAATGACAGTCATCTCCTTGTGACAGAGGCCCAAGGGAACTTCTTTTTCCCTTCCACATGTGGGGGCACACCTAGAATGAACCATTGTTTTATGAACCAAAAGTAGACCTTCCTTATTAAGACTTCCCAGCCTCCAGAACTGTGAGCACTTCAATTCTATTTATAAGCCACTCTAAGGCATTTTGTAATAGCAACCCAAATGGACTATGACATATATAAATGGGCTTGCGCATATACATGTAAGACATATTATATTCATTCCAGTTTGATTACAAAAGATCTTACTGGATAGCTCAATGAAATGAAAATAAGTAAAAACAGGAAAAAAAATTAAAATGAAAGGTATCCCCATCAGTTTCCTTGTCACTTGGACACAACAGCTGACAACCACAAATTAAGGGTGGGGGGGGTATTTTAGCTCATGGTTCAGGCCCTGGTTAGCTGGCTCCAGGGCAGAAACAGGTAAGCTGATCCACCTGGTAGCTATGAAGCAGAGGGAGAAAGGAGAAACCAGCAAGGGACACACACCCTCTACATCATGCCCCTGTGCAGACTCAGCTCTTCTGACCAGACCCATCTTCTAACAGCAAGCAGCTATGGCACCCTCAGGACCCAATCGCTTCCAAACACAGGAGGTTTTTTGTGACTATTTTATTTTATTTTGTGACCATTTTAGATTTAAGCCATAAAATAACTAAAAACCTTTACTACTTTTCACTTTAGTGCATATAAATAACTACCCTAAGTTTTCTAGGGTACTTGATACACATACCTTACAAACATAGGAATGATTAGTCTTTAATTAGTGTAAAGAAAGGTAACATTTTTATTTTTGTACTGTTTCTAAGCCCCTGCCCCTAACTTTGTCTTGTGCACGGCTTCCTCCCACCAAGCCCTAAAATGCTGCACTTGGCATCCTACTCTCATGCCAATATCTGCTGAAAAAAGGTCTCATCTGGGAGGGGTAAATGGAGGTTCTTAGAACCTGAAGTTGGACTACATTTGAACTAGGAAGAACTTTAAAGGCTACTGTGAATAATTATCTCCACCTTGTTGATAAGGAAACCAGGATTTTCACATCACAAAAAGCAAGCAGATTCTTCCAGGCCTTTACAGAGGGTGGGGCTTATCACAGAAATTCCAGAGGCTGGGCTGCAGCCACCTGTGAGAACCAACCTGCCACTGCTTCCCTCACACAACCTAGCAGAGCTGCTCAACAAACAGCCCAACAGTGCAGTTGGTCCCCTTAGAACAAAGATACACCTCTTCCAGGAAACTGCCTCTTTTCATTTGCCAGGATGTGAAGCCCTTAAAATAAATACATGGGCCCTGGCTGCGGAGATAGCTCAAAGGTATAAGCACCCATCAGGCAAGCACAAGTTTGATCCCTGGCTCTGCATACCATGCCAACTCTGGAACCCCGGACACTCAGTGACCACAACAGAACCATGCATGGTGGTACACCTCTGTAATCCCAGCACTTGGGAGTCTGGGACAGGGGGATCACTATGAGTTCGAGACCAGCCTGGGGACTACAAAAAGTGAACACAAGGCCAGCCCAAACTGCACGGGGAGACCCTGTCTCAAAAACAAACAATAAAAGATGGGCACGGCCTGGTAAGACCCTTACTGAAGACATGTAAAAACCCCAAACTACAAAAATGGACACCATCCCCATGGTATTTGGATGGATACCATCCAACTGAAAATGGATCTGAAAATGTTGACGATGCCAACTCGGAAGCTCTGAAATAAAGCCCTGATAAGGCCACTCACTGTCATCATAAGGATGTTTGGCAAAGCAGCCATCAGATGGCTATGAGGAAGATAATGACAGAAGGCTTTAAGCTGTGAAGCTGTTCTCCAAGTACAACCACAAAGAGATTTCAGAGGACTCACTCTCAAATTCTACTGTATGATGGCAGAACACTGTATTTGTAGAAGGATGCTTTGGGTTTTACATAAAATCCATATTCTACCAGATGCTGTTGTTAGAGGGAAAATTTGATCATCAGAAACCTTGGGCCACTTAGTTCCTCCAAGCATCAGTTTCCCCATCTGTCACACTTTCTGGGTGAAGTCCGACTGCTCTAGTCAGGGATATAGCTCAGCAGCATAAGTGCCTGCCTGCCAAGCACCAAGGACCTGTGTTCTATCCCCGGTACCACAAAAAAAAGTCTGACTGCTCTTGCACAAGGTAGCCTTGAGGCTTGAACAAAAAAATAATGAAAAGGTTTCATAAACTACTAAAAAGCACATTGAAAACAAAGCACTATGGATACTTGCAAAGGGACAAGACATTAAAAGCTGACAAATTCCAAAATTATTTAAATAAAATAATAAAACCATTCCAACTCAACTTTAATCCAGTAAAAAGTAAGGTCTATTATTCCTAGCTTAAAAAATACGGTACTGCAAAATATTCTGTAACAAAATTACTACGCTAAGAATTCACATTTCATCTTTAACACTATCTAAAATGTTGAGTGATCCACTCTATCTTTCAAGGCATAATACAGCACAACAATGTAGTTACTTGAGTGAAACTCTGCAAAACATGTATGCACACACAAATGCTAAGCGAATACACAAAACCACAGATTTTTTTTCTTAATTCTAGGTCAAGCAGCACAAAATCTTTATTATTTTTTAATCACTAGAACTCAATGAAGCTCTAGTTTGCCCCAAAATAAAATCAGATTTATAAAATAGAAGACATCACATGTTTTCTCTCATAGGTTAAAATTTTCCTCAACTTTTTCTAGCCATACACTAATCAATGCCTTTGGTTTTGGGGGGATCTTTTCAGGGAATTGGGGACTGAATCCAGTACAACGGGAATCAAACCTTGATGCTGAGTAATTCTCAGTTCCTTTTTTCATGTTTTGAGACAGGGTCTCTCTAAGTTGCTAAGCTTCTTAGGCTGGACTTGAACTTGTGATCCTCCTACCTCAGCCTCTCAAAGTTCTGGGATTCTATGCATGAGACACCACACCCACTTATTAAAGCCTTAAGCATTCACTCACCAATAGTAGCCATAAGGCACATGTGGCTACGGGGCACTAGAAACATGGCTAATAGTAACATGGATCACAAACGTAAAAATACACACCAGGTTTTGAAGCTGTATTATTTAAAAAAAGTAAAATAGCTCTGTAAGAGTAAAATAGTGGGGCTGGAGAGATAGCTCAGCCATCTAAGCATCTGGCAAGCGCAAGAACCCGGGTTCGACCCCAGGTACCACATGCTGTGCCAGCCCTGCCCCAGGTACCCAGAGCCAGGCACCAAAACTGGGCACAGTGACACGCGCCTGTAAGCCCAGTGCTGGGGAGGCTGAGACAGGACACTACCTATACAAGCTGCATAGTGAGACCCTGTACCAAATAAATAAATAAAACTTTTAAAAAGTAAACTGGCTATTTAAACACAGAACATATATTGGAATGATAATATCCTGGATACTTTGGGTTAAATAAAATATATTAAAACTGCTATATCTTGGTCTTAACCATCCAGCAGAAAAGTATAAAAACAAGGTATATAAAGTAAATCCATTATTAATACGATGAGCTATAAAAGGCTCAAGTAAATAACTTCTGAGGATAACCCACTAATGTTATAGACTGCTAGACAGTGTTAGATTGTTTAGTTGAATTCAAACACCTATAGTATTTAGATGCTAATAGAATATTCACCTCTGACAGGACCAAAAAAAAAAAGAATACAAAGAAAAGATAATTTTGTATTTATATATACAAAATAGGATAAATTTACAGCTACTTTCACTTAATTCAATGAGAAGAAAGAGGTATACTAACAGTGTTTGGACAGGATATCCTGTCTGCTTCTTGTACTATGGATAACCACTAAGAAGATAACAATGTACAGTGTATTGATTATCAAAACTGTCCTATTAATCAGCTGTGAAACTGTCTCATTCATATTTATTTCTCAATAAAAAAATAAATAAAATATATTAAAACTAATTTTACTTGCTTCTTTCTCTGTTAATGTAGCTATGGAAAAATCTTAAACTATGTGTGTAGCTCACATATATAAACACAAGTTGGCCTGTTTCTACTGAACACAGCTGCTCTAGGAGAATATTACCTTTTTTTTTTTTTGTGGGACCGGGGATTGAACTCAGATCTTTGCGTTTGCCAGTCAAGCGCTTATCCTACTGAGCCATCTCCCCGGCCCCAGTATTACCATTTTCCATACATAAAGATACAAAAATTTAATTTTGATCCAAGTTCTCAACCACCTCTTGAGCTCCTAGGAAAGAGGAAACCACTGGGGGATGCTGCAGGGCCCGAACACAGTCTCAGAACTTACTGTAAAGAAGTCATTCCTGTTAACCATTCTTGTAGGGTAAAATAGCCCATGTTTTGTGCATCCAATTTCCAAGCTAGCACAAGCATAACTACCTGTTTAAAAAAAAGACAAAATCTCAGTAATTAAATCACAACATCTATAAATGCTTCTATTCTCAATAGTAGTTTAGTCACTGAAATAAGAGACAACTTCAAAACTGAGTTCTCATTTGGCAGATAACTAAAAAGTTTGAGCATGCAGTCTGCTGAACTGGGTTCGGAAAAACATGTATTTTCTGGCTACACAGCCACAGAATGAAAGTAATCTATCAGGATTAAGACCAGTTATCCACTCACCAATTCCATCTCGAGAAAGCTATCTCATATTTATACTCATACATGCATGTGAAACTACGCAATATGCTCAATATTTATTGTGGTATAGTTTATAGTGGCAAAAGGCTGAAAACAACCAAATGCCAGTAAGAGTCTGGCTAAATTTGTTTTTGCTAAATATATTTCAAATAAGGGCTATCCATAACTGGGCAAGGAGGAGGAAGTTGTCCTCATCCACCTCAAGGATAGTAGAAAAATGAGTATAATTAGAAAATAAGAGTATGTCAATCCTAAAAGGGTAAAGAGACAGGGCCCCCTTAGGACCACCTGGGCAGTCTGCAGGCCACCTCTGGACAGTTATCACATACAAGGCACAATCCTAGCTTGGGGTCAGGTATACACTGTTAATGGGCACTCTCCATTTGTTGTAACAGAGGCAGGCACTACGTAGAAATACAAGCTGCTGTAATACAATTGAGAAGGGGCCAGATACTCTGGAATGTGATTTCTTTACAGAGAATCTAAGGTTTCTGCTCAACTACTATAAGAACTACCTCAAACCATCTTCTGCATATCTAACTGGGTCAGATGATGGTGACAAAGAAAAGGATCAAGCTGATATAAAAATTTTACAAAAGAACCCCTCAGAAAAGTATTTTTGGATGATTTAATGAATCTTCAAAGGCCTACCTGTACTATAAGAACCCCAAAAGTATTCAGGAGGTTTTGAAGGTCAGTCCTTTACCTGTTGGCCAATAAACTAGTTTGTAGACTAAAATGTTTGAAAACTAGAAGATTGATTAAAGCTTTCTCCCTATTGCTGACTTGATGTTATTCAGAAGTTAATATCCATGAGCACCTACTAAATTTCTAGGATTTTTCAAATAAACTGGTACATATCAATTTTTAAAAATTAACATTTTTGGATTTAAATAAATCTAAATTATTAGGCAGATTGCTTGGGCTGATTCATAATAATTGCTAAATAGGTTAACATGATTGTTAACAGGTCATAAATGGTCACTTAAGATACTAATGGGCCACTGAGAAGAACTCCCCACCAAAAAGGGATTACATGTTCTGTAAAGTATTCATTCATGTCTATGGCCCGATCCTTCATTCACACATTAGTGGATTTTCTCTTTAGCGTTCAGGTTTCTTGGAGTGCTGATTCTTATACACCAATTTACCTAGGTGAACCTTTTCTAACACAAATTATGTAGTCTCAACATCTCTCTTCAGCACACTAATAAAAAATATTTAAAATCCCACATAAAAATTTAAGTTTAAAAATGAAGTGAGGGCCCAAGAAAACATACACACTATTCATACTAGGAAATAATCTATATATGAAATACTTAACTAATAAGGAAGCTAAAAAATAAAAACCTTGCCTTTACCATGGTACAGTAGACTTGAATTTTATCAGCTGCTTAAGTTTCATAAGCTACAAATATCAGGTAAGGTAAGAGTTTTAAATACTTTCAAAATGCAATTCAGACAAGAAAACAAAAACAAAACTATAAAATAATACAACTTCTGTGGGTGACAACTCAGGATTAGATTTCAGCAATGCATATTTTGAACATGACTGTGAATTTGGTTTAAGTCTTCAACATGATTTCTCACTGTATCTACTGCTACAGAAACAGCTTAAAGGACTCTGAGCTGCCAGAACGGATGGTAACAACAGCTCTCTTTTATTGAGTACTACTATTAGTGGTGACAAACTTTGAAAAACTGTGCCTTCCTTCCTACCTGGTCAGCAATCCCTCCAGAAACAGGCTGTTCTGCCTCTGGGACTAAATGTCCGGTTGAAGACTCACATAGCCACAGTTTAACCCTAGCAACCCAACTCATCTGACTTTGGGTGTAGGCTCTGCTCCTCAGAACACATTTACTGCTGGCCTCCTGATGGACTCTCTAGACCTACCATCAGGCACAAGTTACTCTCACCCCAACAACACTGTCAGAAAATACTGTGCCAAGCCTGCCCCAGACCCCAGCTGAAAACATCCTTCAGTAAAGTCAGAAAATGGTCTTTTCCTACGTCCATAGACCAGATCTAAAGGAATACTATGGGTCTCATTTCCCCAAGTTTTTATATCAAGGTAAATTATGAAGATACATGAACTGGGACACATTAATATAATAAAACACCTGGTTCCACCAAAAAACAAACAAAAAAAATATATAATAAAACAGATAAGACAAAAATCCCTATAATGAGTGAAAGATATTCCAAAGCACTTTAGAAAATTTAAGCATCAATAGGGGCAAAGCAGGAATAGTGGTCGATGCATAAGTACAGAGATGCTAAGAGTAAAATGTAAAAACACATGAGGTCTCAATTCTCAGTTTTCTTTGAAAGCATACATATATGCAAGTATACCAGATGTTTCAGAAAGTCTAAATACAGGCTATGTTCTCTTCCAGGTCACAAAGTCCTTTAGGACCTAGAATATAGTTGCTAAATTGAAGGTCAATATAAAATCAAACTGTATCATTTATATGCCTGGGCACGTAAGAATAATTTCTCATTCTGGTGTAAAAGATTTTATTGGAATAGTAACATGATTCTAAAAACTAGAAAAAAATAAGCAAATAACCCTAATTTAATTACTTGTTGATTTTACACTAAAAGACAATCTCTTTTTTAGGTGAGTTTTAATCAAAAATGAAAGATCTGTGAGAAATTTGTTATCTACCCAAAACCTTCATGAATGTTTATTTATAATCTACATTAAATTGAAACTACCATTTTTTTTTTTTTTTTTTTTTTTTTTTTTTTTTTTGCAGAACCGGGGATTGAACTCAGGCTCTTGCACTTGCCAGGGAAGCGCTTATTCCACTGAGCCATCTCCCCAGCCCTGAAACTACTATTAAGAGGGACAAAGATACACAGCACGCAGTGACTTGGCCCTACAATTGATCTGTCATTGTAGCTGCATGTGCCCACATCATTTTTTAAATATCTACTTTAAGTACACAATTACTCTACCTTTTACATATAAGAAATTGAACCAGTGGTGAAAAATGACAATAGTTAACATCCTCTCACTTATAAGAAAAAAATACACTTACAAATCAAACTAGAATTGGAACGTAAAAGTGGACCCAAATTGAAATATATCGTCATTTCTTTATTATTGCTTTTTTGGGGAAGGGACAAAAGATTTAGGCAAGAAAAATAACTGATAATACTTGTAAATCAGACTTACATTTTCAGGTTCTACACCAATGTCTTCACAAAATTTCTCCATTCCTTCAGGACCTACAACATCCTCAGTACCTGTAATGAATTATAAATTAAATCTGATCATATATAGTATTTCCAGTGCAGTAGTTTTACATTGTCATTAAGATTTAAAGGCCATAATTCCTTTTGGTAGAAAGAAATCGAGCACTAATTAAAAAATATTCTTGAATTTCAATTATATCTTAAAGAATTCTGTGCAGAGTCATTTAAATTAGTTTATCAAAATGTCCTTCAACCTCTGGAATATGGTTCACATCATTTATATTAAATGGGGATCAAAAGATAGAAGGAGGGATGGAAAGAGGGAAAAGAAGATGAAAAAGGAATTAAGCTATTTTGTGTACATGTACCAACTCTGCACAGAAAATGAAAACATTACATACTACAAACATGTACTAATGTTAAGATAGTTAAAATGGCAAAACAAGTTAATGCTATCTGACTTCAATCTCTGCTCTTTTAAAGTACTTTTAAAACTTCTCCTCTTGAACGCTGGCCCCCAGCACAGGGTCCCAGAATCCATGTGGGTGGAAAGAAAGCACCCAAACTACCAAATCCTACCCAATTCCATTCCTGGGCTCTCCATAAGACAGAGCAGCACAAGTGACAACCAAAGACTTTCCAAGAGAAGAGTTTTGCTTCAAGACTGAAGTGTTACCCTACCACAGAGACCACAGGTAGGCTTGGACAGGGTGAGAACTATACCGGAATCTGCTGGGATCCACTGGAAGGGTTGGGCTCTGGCAAGGATATCCAACTGGGTATGGGGGGGAGGGGTAGGTATAACCTTTACAAGTGGTGGACCTACATGAAATGGTATTTAGTCCAGAGGTATACTTGAACATTTGTACATCTGCCTGCATAAAGCAGAAATTTGTAGTATAAATTATTATAGGTTAGTATCAGGGTGGTCTACGTGTCCTCACTAAAATCACAAAGATCTTCGCTCTGGCTAAGGCCAGTTCATGAGTGGTTCTTAGGGTTTGTCAGTAGTGGGTTGATATTGACAGCACTGTTACTGCTGACTTCTCTACTACAGCCAAGGCAACATAGTCGTTGTCAATTGGTTTTCTCTGTGTGCTAAAACCTGGATTGCCTGGGGTTCATCTGTAAAACTGTGACTCACTCCCAAGAACCCACAAATTCCAGCACAAAAACCAAAAATACAGAAACACTAAAAGATGAAAGAAAAATGGATCCAAAACCCCTAACTCTCCCAACACTGGTTGAGAGGACATATAAGCCACACAGCCGAAAGTCTGAAAAGATATCAGTGGTAATAAAAATAGGTGTTGTGAGTTTAAAGAACATATCACTAGTCAGATAATGACCCCAATGAAACAGGTGATCAGTGAGTCCACAAGGCACTACAAAAAAAAACAAAACAAAAACCTAGTGGAGCTAAAGAAAGAGATCCAAAACACGGATGTCCAACACAGAAAAGAATGAGAGTCCATAAAAACTTCCCAAACAGAAATCCAAGAGATTAAAAATATAACAAAGTATGGGTAATAGACGTGGACCAATGTGAAGATAGTGTTAGATCTAGCAGACAGGCCCAGAGTTAATGATCAGTTAATGAGATTACCTTAAAAATAAACTAACCTGGCAGCTGCTACATGACTCAAAAGACTACTATAAGAATAAGTGGATGGGCCGGGGAGATGGCTCAGTGGAGTAAGCACTTCCCTGGCAAGCACAAGGGCCTGAGTTCAATCCCCGGTTCCACAAAAAAAAAAAAAAAAAAGAATAAGTGGAAATAATGAAAAATTAGAAGACAGCATGAGGGCATAAAAACCCTGGTTATAGAAGTAATAGCAGAAAACCTTCCAGACACGGAAAAGAAAAAAAATAAATAAATAAAAAAAATAACACATATGTGAGACACACAGAATCCCAAATAGCCATGACTAGGGGGAAAAATTATTCCATGTGAAATAATAATTAAAATACCAAGAGCGGCGACCTGGCGTGGCGGTCTGGGCGCCGGGCCACGGAGCGCGAGGTCGCCAGTTCGTGCCCCCGTCCCGACCCTTTGCCTTTTCCCCCGTTCGGATGGGATTATTTATTTATTGGGGCTGGTGAGATGGCTCAGTGGTCTAAAGCACCTACTTAGAGCAAGCTTAGCCAAGCACAGTTCAGTCGCCCAGCACCACATGCCAGCCAGCCCCGCCCCCTGGTGGGCTGAGCTGCCCCCCCCACTCAAATAAATAAAATAAAATACCAGAAGTTCAACGCAAGAACAGAATCTGAAAGGCAGCTAGAGGAGAGCAATGAATCACATATAAAGGAAAACCCATAAAAATTAAGAGATTTCTTTTTCTTTTTTTTTTTTTTTTTTTGGTGGAACCGGGGATTGAACTCAGGTCCTTGCGCTTGCCAGGGAAGCGCTTATTCATTCCACTGAGCCATCTCCCCAGCCCCAAGAGATTTCTTAACACAAACCTTAAAGGCAAAAGAGTTTGGAATAAGGTATTCGAACCTCTAAAAGAAAACAACTTCCAACCCCAACTATTATGTCCTGAAAAATTATCTTTCCAGATTGATGGAGAAATAAGGTATTTAAATGTTATAGAGGACATAAATTCCCAACCACCAAAATATTCCCAACACTCCAAAAAATTCTCAAGGGTATTCTTAAGAGACAATAAAGCTAGCAATGCCAAAAGGTCCAATACAATGAATGTATCAGGTAGGGCCAGCAATTAAGTAAAAGAGAAAGACAGCAAAACAGCAACTGGGAAATAACACAAAGACAGGAAAAGTCAGTATCTATCAATCACAACTATCAATGTAAATAGACTCAATTTAGCAATCAAAGGACACAGATTAGCAAGAATGGATCAAGAAATAAAATCCAGCAGTATGCTATATATAGAAAACACATTTAGCATAAAAAGAAGTTTACTGGCTAAATCTCAAAAGATGTAAAACAATATTCCATGGAATGGGAACCTGACAGATGGGCTGGGGAGATGGCTCAGTGGCATAAGCACCTGCCTGGCAAGCGTGAGGTCCTGAGTTCAATCCCTGGTACCAATAAAAAAGAGAGAAGGGGAGGAGAGGGAGAAGGAGAAGAAAAAGTAACCTGAAGATAAGATTAGTTATCCTATTTTCAGACACAATGGAATTCAAATTAAAGCTGATCAAAAGAGGCAAAGAAAAAAAAAGAGGCAGGGGGACCACCTGCTTGGGGCCCTCCTACTGTCCATCTCTTGGATGGGAGTTTTCTTTCCCTCAATAAATACATTCTGCTCATAAAAAAAAGGAAGACAGTAATTATAAAAACATATGCACTAAACTACAGTGCACTCAACTACATTAAAAGAATACTAGTAAGACATAAGAGTTCAGATAAGCATCAATACCATCAATATAACTGTAAGAGTCCTCTATCACAAATAAATCAACTTAAAAAAGGAAACAACCAATATAGGTTGAACCAAACCTCTTAACAGACTTTATAGATACATACGGAGTGTCTACCCAACAGAATACATATTCTTTTCTGCAGCACATAGTAGCTAATAAAGCATACCTAATGCAAAAGAATCAAAATTTTACCACAGATATTACCAAATCACAGTGCAATGAACCTATAAATTGACGGTAAAAGAAACCATAGAAACTATGCAAATGTATGAAAATTAACACATTCCTGAATAACCAATGAGTCACAGAAGAAATTAAGGAAGAAATAAGACACTTCCTAAAATTAAGTAATACCACTACAACATACCAGAACTTAAGGATATAATGAAAGCAGTCCTATGAGGAAAGTTTATAGCAGTGAGTGCATACATTGGAACAACAGAATAAGCCCAAACAAAGAACCCAATGATACACCTCAAGGTCCTAGAAAAACAAGAACAATCCAAATCCAGAGTTTCTACAAGGAAGAAATTAAAAACATTAGACCACAGCCAGGAAGACAGCTCAGCAGCACAGTGCTGGTCTGGCAAGTGCAAGGTCCTGACACCTGGTTTAAAAAAAAAAAAAAAAAAAATCAGACCAGAATAAAATGAAGACCGAAGAAGAAAAAAACAAAACAAAACAAACAAAAAACCCACAAAGAAGCAAGGAATCAATAAGCTGGTTTGGTGAATGAATAAATGAATGAAGCCTATAGTCAACCTTATTAAAAAAAAAAAAAAGACATAAATCAATGCAATTAGAAAAAGGTGAAAATCACAACAAACATTGCCAAAATCCAGAAAATTATTAACCATTACTTCAGAAACATATACAAAAAAGTGGAGAACTCAGAAGAAATGCAGACTCTTAAAAATCACCAAAACTGAACCAAGAAGGCTTGAAGATCTTAAACAATCCAGTGACAGGCAATGAAACTGAAGCAGTAATAATAACACTACTTAAGAAAAAAAGAAAAATCCAGGATCTCATGCATTCACAGCCAAATTCTACAAGAACTTCAGGGAAGATCTAACACCACTACTCATCAAACTCTGATGCAATCAAGAGGGAAGGAGTACATCCAAAATCATTCTTGGAAGCTAACCTTATCCTGATCCCTCACCAAAGACCAAGCCAACAGAGAGAACTACAGGTCAACCTCTCTAATAAGCATAGATACAAGATACTGGCAAACAGAATGCAACAAATCATCAAAAAGCTCACTAAGCATGACCAAGTAGCCTTCCTTCCAGGGAGACAAGAATGGTTGTTTCAACATACACAAATCAATAAATGCAATTCAATAAACAAAAAAGGAAAAAAAAATTCACATGATTACCTCAATAGAGGTTAAAAAGTCTTTGATAAAATGCAAAATCCATCATGACAAATCATGAACATCAACAAATGGAATATCAAATTAAAATGGCACAGCAGCAATGTGTGAATTATTGAAACTGTCCTACCAATTTGATTTGAAACTGTCTCATTGCTATTTGTTTATCAATAAAATTATGGGAAAAAATAAAAAAAAATAAAATGACACAGCAAAGAAACAACCAACATCAAAAGACAACTCATAAAACAGAAAAAAATTTCGCCACCTATGCCTTGGACAG